CAATGCATGCCTTTTGTTGAAGGCAAAGCATCCAGCTAACTGGCCACATCAATTTGCAAATAAACTTGTCCCGTTCGGTCGGACGGACATAATTTAATTTTAAAATTAAACTAAAAGTTACAGGTTCTTTAATATCTTAAGCTATTAAAGTTACTGGGTTGAAATAGATACACTTTACTCGCTACTTTACAAGGTGCCTGGAAAAGTTGATCGGTTCGAAGATTTCCCAACTAGATTGCCTCGTTACATCGGAATTTAGGTATTAGTGCAGCTTTTCTAATCATAAAAAATCATCAGAACGGCGTGTATGCGTGAAAGAGTATTTGAACTGTCATAAATTTTAAAATTATGAAAGAACTGGATAAATGTTTCCTGTTAAGACTTTTACATGCATGTCCAAAATGAACTTTTGCAAGCTTCTGGAGATTGTTAAATTAAATTGAAAAGCGTGATACGCAAAGATGTTATCCATGCTAATACTAAATTGATAACTCTCAGATATTTGGGTACTGGTGATTCGTTCGTGTCTTTGATGTACTTATTCAAACTGTACAAACAATTTATTTCAGCGATGAGGTGTTAAAAGCCATAATGAAAGAACTACGGAAGTTCGTTATAGTAGGTGATTATATAAAATTTATCCAATTCACTTAGAATAAGGTAACAAACTCACTTATTAAAATTAACTTCACATATATCTTTAATAATAAATCGAAAAATAGTATGCCAATCATAAATCATAGATGACAGTTATTTTTTAATTGTATAAACTCGTGTTTTGCAAATGAACTCGGGGGCTGCAAGTTTTCCGTGCAACCCCTATGGTATTGTGTACATGAACTGTGGTGGTGGGAAGTGAAGTCCACAAGAGAAAGTGGGAAATGAAGACGTGACCGCTAAATCATCACTGTGATGTGAGTATGCTGGTGAAGCATAGGATGGGGGCTTGTTGCATTAGTTGGTGAAATAGCAGGTGTTATAGCGTTCATTTCCCCCATTTCTAATTTGTACAAGAAAGTCCTGATGTAACGATGCGAAAAAGCTTTATTGTAAAATGAGGGTGATTCGAGTCTCACAGTAACATGTCTACTCGATAATGTTCAATAAAAAGTAATGTTTCTTCAGTTGAAGACTTAATTAAGTATAAGGATGAACGCCCGGAAATCCACTAGCCTAAAATGCACTACGTCGTCATGGGCTACGCTAGTTGAGCGGCGTCGTTCAACTCGTTTACCGCATGCGCTAATTGCATTCCACACTTTCATCTGAGGCGTTAGAGGTAAAGCGATGACGCACGCAAAAATTGTAGGGACATCAAAGACATTCTTGGATTGCAAGCATTGCTTTTGGAACAGGCTTTCGAGCGAGACTGCCAACTGGGTTTGCTATGGAAACTCAAGGGCATCATCCTCATGCACTTCCTCATGCTTAAGCCCACCTGGCCGGTAAAGGTTCTCACTCTCCTTTGTACAAGGCAGACGCGGACCTGAATGTCCTCGGTCAGTTACTATACTCGATTTAACTGATAACCCTTCCAATCTTGACACCACTATCCTAACCTACGCTGATGGCACTGCCACTCCAACTCCGACCATTTAGCTCACCGGACTGGGACACATCTATTGAACAATGGTTTCAAAAATGTCGAATAAAACAACACCTCAAAATCTCAATTCCATTCTAAGATCTAAGCTCTTTCTCGGTAACAAAATACTCATATACAGTACAACGCAACAAAACTATGGAGTTCAACCAAACTCCTCAGAATCCAGGCCCTACAATTACAAAATCCTTAGATCCATCGTCAACGGCTACAAAAATAAATTTCACACTGATCTTTAACATACAATGACTTTCCTCCCGATCATTTCCCAATAATCTTCATCGACATCCGAAAAGAAAAATTCTCTGTGATCTGTTCTCAGAGAGTGCGTGTGATTAACATGAACCATTGAACGCCTTCTCCACTCCATTTATTGTTATTTTATATTTTGTTTTTATGTGCTATGTGATCTGTGGAACTTATCTATGGTATATGATCTTTAAACGTACAGTTCGTTCAGTCTTCTGCTGATTTTTGAGTAAGCATCGGGCAACATGCTAGTCAATTAGAAGTTTTCAACTCAATGTTAACCGGAAGCATCAACTTACAATATCATTTCATAAGCTATAAAACAGAATTTATTTCAACTAACCCTAAAATTGAAAAGCTGGAAAGTATCTGGACATGTCTCTTAGTAAAATACGACCCAACTTGTCCGAACAAGTTGTATATCATTGTTCTGGTTAAAAATTACCATCTTTGCCAATTCACATATATTCAGCATGACAACGCAAGGTCACATATTTTGCAACATAATGCCTCAAAGCCAACTCGTACATGTTCCTCACAGAGCAAACATATCTGACCTCGCTCCTTTGGCTACCATTTACTCCGGCCCATTGATCTTTCTCCGGTCCAAACATAAAAGCCAAGTCTCGTCCGAATTTTCCTTACTAAAAACTCATCATGACACCAGAAAGGACTTTATTTGTCCAACGATGAGTTCCTCTGATTATAATAAAAACCAAATACATTCATTGATTTTTAATCTAGACGTAATATTGTTCTTATTCAAGAATGTTTGCGTTATTAAATTATTATTATGGTGGTAAAGGTAGAGATGTTGATCTTTTAAATGGATAGTATCATGTTATTATAGTACATTAATTACCCTGATGTGATTGATATCCGTCTTAATAATATAATTAAACGATGAACTAGATTATCGACCTGCTGGAAACATGAAGTCTTTTCAGAGGATCTTCGGAAGAGGTCAAAACAGAGAAAACTTCCTTACGGTTTTCGCCGAGCTTTCGACAGTTTTATACTGTCATCTTCAGGGCCTGTTTTATTATCATATAAACAAACAATTAAAACATGAAAAAACAATAATTACAATAATAATTGGATATCTTACTTTAAAACCTTAATAGGAAATTAAACAACATGGTGTTTTGGGCACAGAAGTACATTATTTTTTTTTTTCGGCTCAGCATATAAATATTGATTTTAGCTATAATTTTTAATTGTTAATGTATTCCATTTAAATCAATCTTTAGATGCTGAGCCGAAAAAAAACATAATGTACTTCTGTGCCCAAAACACCATGTTGTTTAATTTCCTATTAAGGTTTTAAAGTAAGATATCCAATTATTGTTGTAATTATTGTTTTTTCATGTTTTAATTGTTTGTTTATATGATAATAAAACAGGCCCTGAAGATGACAGTATAAAACTGTCGAAAGCTCGGCGAAAACCGTAAGGAAGTTTTCTCTGTTTTGACCTCTTCCGAAGATCCTCT